GCCGAGGTAAGTCTGTGACTTAGATGCCCAGGGCTCCAGCTCAGGGTGAACAGGAAGCAGGAGAACATCCTTTTAAATCAGCAAGTGCAGTCTGGCCATTTACAGGCAGGGAGAACTGTCCCTGAGGGAGGTAAAGGCTGCCTGTCCCCGAGGTCTAGATCAACTTGCTCACCCCATCTTTGGGTCATCGTACCGGAAACTAAAGGAGACCTTCTTGGGTCCCCAGCTCACTTGAGTTTTCTCTCTCTGCCCTGGCAGCCCCCGACCCTTGCCGGCCATCACCCTGCTCTCCGTTGGCCCAGTGCTCAGTGAGCCCCAGGGGGCATGCGCAGTGTCGCTGTCCCAAGAATTACCATGGCGATGGGACGGTGTGTCTGCCGCAGGACCCATGCAGCACCAACAATGGTGGCTGCCCCAGCAACTCTACCTTGTGTCTGTACCAGGGGCCAGGCAAGGTGAGTGGGGACCCAGGCTGGATCTACCCGCCCACACTGTCTGTGGGACCCTGAGCAAAGGGAGCCTCAGCTGCCCCATTTTTAAAATGGGAAAACGATAGCACCCTCTTCTCGGAGAGTGGTTGTGGGGGCCGAGTAGAGCTCTGTGGGTGTGGCAGATGCCAACAGTCCTCTTGGATGTGATGTCACCCTCCTGGCCCTTCCCTGTGGCCCAGGCCTCCTGCAGATGTAAGCCAGGCCTGGTCAGCATCAACCACAACGCCTTCGCGGGCTGCTTTGCCTACTGCTTCCCCTACTCCTGTGACCGGTCAGCCACCTGCCAGGTGACCCCCGATGGGAAGACCAGGTGGGCACAGGGGCCTCGGGGTGGACACCAAGGGTAGGGCACAGAGGATGGACTGGGCAGGGGCAGGTGTGCACATGTGTGCACCCTCAGCTCAAGGTCCTGTGGGACAGGTAGAAGGGGGCCAGAAGGTGGCGACTGGCCCCACACCCCTGCCCCAACCAGTCTTCCCCACCCCCCAGCTGTGTGTGCAAGGAGGGCCAGGTGGGGGATGGACATGCCTGCTACGGACACCTGCTCCACGAGGTGCAAAAGACCAGCCTGGGGATGAGAGTCGCCCTCTCCATGCTGGGTGAGTGACCCTGCCCCTCGCGCCTAGCACTGCTAGCAGGGTGGGAGGGCGCGGACTCCTCAGATTCCTGTTCCTCTGCCCAAGCGCTATGGAAACAAGGGTGGACTGGGTGGGGTTCATGGTGGAGGTGAGCTAACTCCCCAGACCTGATGCCCAAATCTACCCTAGAACCAATACCCCCCGCCACATCTCCCTAAAACAGAAGACTAATGGCTTAGGGTCTCCGTAGATCCATTCTGATGCACCCTCTCCTGGACCCCCCAGACCAGGGCTGCCAGGAGATCCTCACCACGTCGGGCCCGTTCACCGTGCTGGTGCCGTCCCTCTCCTCCACCCAATCCAGGACCATGAATGTGAGGCCGGGCTCATCCCCCATGCTGGTGCCACCTCTCTCCTCCAACCCCTCCAGGACCATGAATGTGAGACTCTCCCCATCGAGAAGCTGGCTGCCAGGCCTTGCCTCCTTCCTGGACCCTGCCCCAGGCTTCGAGGCCTGAGCGAGTTCCCAGTCTCCACTCTGGGGAAATGAGGCCTGGGAGCCATCTTGTCCCCTTTGTAGCTTGGCAGAGTGGCATGCAGGGGACCACCCACCCTGGGCCCCCTAGGCACCCCGATCCCCTTGTGCCTGCAGGCTTCCCTTGCCCAGCAGCTCTGCAGACAGCACATCATCGCAGGGCAGCACATACTGGAGGAATTAGGGACCCAGCAGCAAACACGCAGGTGGTGGACACTGGCTGGGCAAGAGATCACCGTTACTTTCAACCGCTTCATGGTAAGCGGGGGAACCCCAGCCTGGGGACCAGCAGAGTCACAGATTGGGGACACAGCTTGAGCAAAGGTGTGGCGATGGGACAGGACCTCAGCACAGGAAATTAACATGTGGAGTCTGAGCCAGAGGTCTCATTCCTCAACAGCAATACACCTACAAATACAAAGACCTGCCCCAGCAGACATTCACCATCCATAAGATCAACTATCCAGCAGCTAATGGTGTCTTCCACACAGTTTCCGCCCTGCGGTGGCAGCCCCCACCAGAGCTCCCTGCCGACCCTAAGGTAAGCCAACGTCCTCTTCTCCCCAACCCTGTGCCACTGGGTGACCTCTGACCCCCACAGAATTCAGGGAGGTGGCAGGGGCCGTTTTGGGTGGGGCTGGGGCAGAGTGCTTTCCTCTCTGGTACTGAAGCAGCCTCACCCTCTTCTCTGTGGCCTTAATGCTTGTCCCTTCCTGCAGAGAACCATTAGCCAGATCCTTGCCTCCACTGAGGCCTTCAGCCGGTTTGAAACCATCCTGGAGGTGAGTTGGGGGGAAAGGTCCTGACCCATCTGATCTTTTGGGCCGGGACCCCTCATTGCCCAGGATCTGCTCCACGGTGATTTGGGGTCCTGGAGTAGCCCCCATACTAGAACTCGCCATCACCACCCTGAGGTTCTGCAGTAGCATGGACCCCTTGCCGATATCTCCAACTTATTCCTGGTGGGGGTTCCCTGTGGGCTGAGTGTGGCAGGGCCCAGGCATGGTTCAGAGTTGGGGGCTAGCCACAGAGCCCCCCTGAGCCTTTCTCCCACCATCACAGAACTGTGGGCTGCCTTCCATCTTGGATGGGCCTGGGCCCTTCACAGTCTTTGCGCCAAGCAACGAAGCTGTGGACAACTTGCGTGACGGACGCCTCATCTACCTCTTCACAGCAGTAAGCTAGGCAGAGAGAAGGGACTGGGAATATGGGGGCACCAGGGCTCCTACCTCTCCTACTGGGCCTCCAGCAGCCAACACTCTCTCCCCTGCCAGGGTCTCTCCAAACTGCAGGAGCTGGTGAGGTACCACATCTATGGTCACGGCCAGGTGAGAGGTTCCCCTCCCAGAGAGCGGCCAGCTTGCATCTGATGCTGGGCTGTTGAGGGGTTTGTCTGTGGGTTCCGGCCTTCCGAGGGGCTCCTTTTCCTCTCCTCGCCCGTCTGGACTATTATAGCACAGAGGAGAGTCCAGGGGCCAAGGTGGTGTCTGTGAGTCACCTGGACAGGACTGGGTGTGGCCCCAAAATGTGTGGCTCATACCCAGCCTAAGGCCACCCTCTCCTCTGCCCCAGCTGACAGTCGAGAAGCTCATCTCCAAGGGTCGAGTTCTCACCATGGCAAACCAGGTCCTGTCTGTGAATATCTCTGAGGAGGTGAGATCCAGGAACACCTGGAATGAATGGACTCATGGAGGGACTGGTGATAACTCACCAATTATTTGACCTCTTTCAGGCCCACCTTTGTGCTCCACGCCCTGTGGCCAGCAGGCTCTAGTGGGGGTCATATGGGAGGCAGGCACAGATCAATCCTTTGGGAGCCTGACAGGCTGGGAGGACTCCAAGAGGAGGAGGCAGAGGAGCACATGGGTGGCAGGGTTGGTAGTGGGAGGTTGCTCCATGTGGCAGAAACTATGTTGGTCAGGGCATGGAGGCTGGAGCAGTGTTGCCAGAGCAGAAGGTGTTGCTGAGGAGCGGGGAGAAGAGACAGCGGGGCCTTCATCTCACTGAGCTGCAGTGGTGGGGGTGGCCTCAGGGGAGGGGCTGAGCTTTTTGGGCTGCTTTGGTTGCATACTGGGCTCTGCCACAGGGGCGCATCCTGCTGGGACCTGCAGGGATCCCACTGCGGACAGTGGACTTGCTGGCTGCCAATGGCGTGATCCACATGCTGGAGGGCATCCTGCTGCCCCCGACCATTCTGCCCATTCTACCCAAGCACTGCATCCAGGAACAGCACCAGATCGTGGTGGTAAGTGCACACCGCATAACCCGGGCCTTTCTGACACACCCAGCACTGCTGGTGTACGGGTCATCTTCCAAGAGAAATTCTCCTCAACTCAGTGGGTGGGCTGATGGTGGCTCTGGGACCCAGACACAGACCTCACAGACTCACCTGGACTCTCCCACATCCCCTCAGCAGTTCTGCTGATCGTCCCTTTGAGATAACTCTTGCATCTTCCATCCTGTCCACAGCCTCCCTGCTGAGGCCTGGGACTCTCATGCTCTCAACGCCAAGCTCCTATCCACTGTAGGGCCTTTGTTCTTGCTCTTCCTGGCCCTCTCCTGGCCCTCCTGTGGTTGACTTTTTTTTATACCTCAGCTCTTGGCTTCATGCCATTTTCTTACGGTTTGCTAAATAAATAAACCAGGGCTAACTGTTCTCCCCATCTTCCCCTGCCCTGCCCTGCCCAGGGCTCCTGTGTGGACTGCCAAGCCCTGAATACCACCGATACGTGCCCCCCCAACAGCGTGAAGCTGGTGAGTCCCCCT